AAGAAGGTGGGCAGAAAATCGCGGAGCCTTCAATTGCGTCGCATCTCCCGCGATTACCGGCGAACGACTACAAGATAATTATTCGGCCGAAGAACGGGCTGGCGCTCGCAAAAGTTCCGATTGCCAGGCTGAGTGCGGCGGTGCGCATGGCAGCGCAAATTCCGTTGCTTAAGGGGCGAAGAGGGGACGCGCTCATTGTTAGCGATAAGAAAGGTACCCTGAGTTCCAGCACCCCGGACATGGGGTCTGGAAGATTAAGTCTGCCAATATCGACGTCGACGACTACGAAATCACGGCGTACCTCGAGCCGCACAAGGACAACGGGCGGGGTGAGTTACCCGGCATCGACCCGAGATTGACAACAGAGGAACTGACGGAAGCCTTTGGACACCGGAAGAACACACCGATACTTGGCGTTCGGAAGCTGGGCAACTCCAGTTCTGCAATCGTAACCTTCAAACCCGAGACAGTGTGGATGTGGATGTACTGCTACGGTGTACCTCTGGAGCGCGTGGTCTGCAGTAAACGCTACGAGATGTGCTACCGATGTGGCGAGTTAGGACACAGATCAGGCGTATGTGTCAGCGCCAAAGTTAATTGTGGGGGATGGGAAATGGCAGCCCGACCGTGGATCACGTATGCGAGCCCAAGTTTAAGTTGTGCGGTAAACGTAATTTGGCAGCACTCCGCAAATGCGAAGAAGCTTTCAGTGCCTGTTATGCGATAGAGAAGAGGCAATGGGAAGCCAAGCTGTGCATGAAAGAGGAAGAGTGGAAGACAAAGGAGGCCGAAGTGGGGACGAGCCGATGAAAAGCATCAAGGGAGATCCAGGAGTGAGTCAAGAAGCCGGAGTGTGCCGAGAGGGAGATCGGATTCTTTCCCGCGGTTCCCGCAACGGCAAGAAGAGAAGCAACAGAAGGCCGGACCCGGGTCTGCGGAGACCTCCGGAGGCGCTGTCCTCAGCAACCCAGCGAGACCCAAGCCGTCGAGCCGAAAAGTGGTTTGGGTGGACGTGGCCTTATAGGATAAACGCGACGAAGGAATATTTAAGATTAAGGCAGAAAATCGCATGCTGAAAGAACAGCTAGCGGGCGATTTGTAGGCAGATTGCAGAGCTTCAAATAGCTCTTAAGCCTCATACAGCACCTGCGAAACAATCGCGAGTGCCGGAAAAGCCAAATGTAGGAGCGAAGGACATGAACAAACCCCAAATAAATAAGGACACAGAGAGAGTGATAGACCTAAAAATAGTGAATTTGGAGGCGAACTATGAGGCCAAATCTAGCCAGGACGATGTATGGCGCAAGGCCTTTGAGGAACGCATCTTGGGAATGTCTGGGAGAGTCGCTGATGCAACTCTCCCAGACCAGTTGCATCAGCGAGATAAGAATCTTGCAGAGCGACTGCATAGAGGGGATAAAAAACTCACTGAAGAACTTTAAGAGGACTTTGGCGAAAAGCGACCGGGCAGCTGAGCAGAAGGATCGGTATATGGACTGCTCACCCAACAAGTATTAGTAAGACGGCTGGATCTGCTAATTGGCAATCATGTCTTACAGATCCAGTAAGAACACCGCATGGCCCTGGAACTTTAGATACTTCACGCGCAAGCGTGCTGTGGAATCCGAAAGGGGCAGCGATGCGGTAGACAAGAGATTAATACATTTCTGGATCACAAATAAATGGTTGGAGGACCGGCTTCGGCAGAGGAAATGGAACCGGAATATCAGAAAACAAATAGCGACTTTAAACAGGAAATTGAAGAGCGCGCAATCGCGCTCACGAAGCCAAATTAAGGTAACCTCTGCGATCAGACGGAGATGATTTTGAGTACCGCGGGGACCTGGCAAATTGTTCGCCACTTCTTAGATCCAGATAGCACAAAGTCAGCGTCCAAACAACAGGTGGAAAGACTGGCGTATTAATCTGACGGAACTAAGAATGAACACGTGAAAGTTCAGAACAGGTACATCAACGTCGCCGGACCTGAACCCCTCCCGGACTACGGAGGGGGAGAGAATTTGGAAATTGACGTTCCGATCTCCCTGGCTGAGGGCAGAGCGGAGATTAATCGGCTGAAGTCTAAGTCAGAGGGTGGGCCGGACAAAGTGAGCAACAGAATGCTCTTTAATTTAGACGACAGGTCCATCGTTAACCTCGCAGCGTACATGCAGGAGTCCTGTTAGAAGGGGACGATACCATAGGAGTGGAAACTTGCAAACCTTATTTTCATTCCCAAACCGGAAAAGAAACTGGACTTCAACATCCTCAGGACGATATCACTCACCTCCTGCGTGGGTGAGCTTATGGAGCACGTCGTTCAGACGTTGCTGAGTAGGTACATAGAGGAAAATGGGCTTTATCCGGACACCATGATCAGTTTTCGAGCAAAGCTGTCGGCAACGACGTGATGCTGCAGCTGCAATACCAAATTATAGAGGAGCAAACGCGAGACACAGAAGCGATCGTGGGCTTAGATGTGGCAAAGGCATTTGACAAAGTGAGACACCTGTTGATGTTGGAGATTCTGAACTCACTCAATGACGGGAAAATAGTAAAATTACACCAGGGACTTTCTTACGAACGGGAAAGTCATTTTCAAGATAGGGGAAGAGTCCATTCAGGACAGTAAACTGAATAAGAGGGTGACGCCGCGGGGCTCGGTGTTCTCACCGACCCTCTTCAATATTGCGATGTTGAGATTCCCCGAACAGTTCGGGGAAATTGAGAATCTAAACCCTACCTTATACGCGGATGACTTAACATTATGGACAAACGAGGGCCGTAAGGGCAAACAAGGGCCCTGCAAAGTGCCATTGATATCATCGAGAAGTACCTGAAACCTAAAGGACTCAAATGTTCGGCAAAAAAGTCGGAAGCACTGTTCCTCATGAACACGGTAAACGGCGGCTTCACCAAAATCATGAGGCGGACATCCACCAGTACGTCAGATGCGGAGAGATCTTCGCGGTCGTTTAAATCCGCGTCCTAGGGCGAAGGATTCAGGTGAACCGGAAGAATCATACAACGCCTGCTAGATTAGAAGCCAGTGCAAATTAGACGGGTCGTCTCATCAGACGAATAGCGAACAGGTACGCTGGGATGAAGGAGGCGAGTCTCTTGAGACTCGCGCAACCTTTCGTAATCAGTGGGATAGTGTAGGTGGCACCCTGCCTCCAACTGAACGGAGTGGAACGGAACAAGTTTGAAATCAATATAACGAAAAGTGTGAGGCTAGGGGCATCGAACACACTCGAAGAGCTGATTGAGGCTGCCGTTATCACGCACCGTTAAAGGATACTAGGATCTAAAACGGGGAGGAAACTTTTAGAGATATACGTCTACGAGCCCAAGCATGAGCAAGTGCGCTGAAGAGACATACCGAGACAGATCAGGGACAAGATAAATATCCCTCCGCCACCCAGAAACCCTTCCTTTCACGAAGGCAGACGTAACGACAGGGCAGAGGGATTACAAGCTAGGTATACAGGTCGACAGGACGTCCTATATGCGGACGCCGCAGATTATGAGAGCAAAGTGGCACACGGCGGCCGTGGCAGTTATGGAATACGGCACCCCGGTGACGTGCTGCACAGTCAGTAGCGTCGAGACGGTAGAAGCGCAAGAAGTGGCCATAGCCTGGCTATCAGCCAAAGGGGAGTTAAGCTGGTCATCAGCGACTCCAAAACGCTGTTAGAAATTAAGAATCGGGGAGGGTGACGGAGACTGGCATGCGTATATTAAACAAGGAAGGAGGACCCAGAGAGCTGGTTCTGCTTGTTTGGGCACCAGCTCACCAGAGACTTGGACAGAACAAGGAGGCTCATTTGGTCGGCCAAAATTTCACTTACCGGTCGACCTCCGGAACCACCCGATTCCCCGAAATTATTTTCCGATTCCCCGAAGCAGAGACGATAAACGCGGATATCAGGAAATCACTACACTGCAGACTAAATCGAAACATTTATCTGGGAGTGGACGGAAGGCTCATTGAGAAAGAGGAGGTTGTGTGGAGGAAATTACACACGGCGTTGTTTACCAACCCCGTACTCTACAGCAAGTGGCATCCAGAAGCATTCACGTCAAAGTGCTAATTTTTTGATAAGGCAGCAAATTTGGTCCACATGGTATGGAGATGTCCGACTAAGTACGACAGCTCTTGCACTCTAGAATCCTGGGAGACTTTGCTCCGCAGCCGAGACCCCAAATTCCAGCAGGGGATCATCGGTCAAGCCCTTGCTGTTGCTGTGTCCTAAGGCATTCCGGCCGACTGCTAGGGGCGACGGGGGAGATGGACTTCTCTCCTGACGTTCATTGACTGGTGTTTCAGTAAAGTGGTTTCTCTCTCTCTCTCTCTCTCTCTGTCTTACCGTATTTTTTTATTGGTCATTTTTGTTTTCCTTTCGCGTTGAATTGGGACGATGCGCTTTTCAAAGGAAAGATAATGAAACCCGCAGGACCGAAAAGCAACGCGTGGTCACGGACTTCTAGAAGATTCGCTTTCTCTCCCTCATAGTAACGCGGACAAATCACCGCCCGGTTTTCTTCGGTCTCGGTGCTGGCTTTTTATTTTTTTTAACGAGAGTTTGCCGATAAAACGTTTCGTTTCAGATAATTATTTATCATTTCTTCGCCTTATTCCGCCGACAATATGTTACGATAGTACTTATATGTGAAACTAGAAACTGTACAAAATTCCAGTGTTGATGTTTGATGGTGCCGCCTGCTTACCCCGTGTGTCAAGAACATTTTCCTAATTAGGGAAAATAAATTTAAGTTGAACTTGCTTGCAAGATACTTATAGGGAATTACCACATCGACTTGGCCTATTGGGGCTCTTCATTCTAGATCACATAAAATCCAGCTCAAATACGTTGAGTATAGCATATTAAGCACAAGGTAGCTGTATCATCCTGAACTTTACAATGGGTTGCATAACTCTAGCGGTGAAAATGCGCTGCATCTCAATTACATTTCATTAACGCATGCTAGATACGTACTGGTTAAACGAGGCGAAGATGCGGAGTTGTGTTTTAAGTAGAAAATAATCAGGATCAATACGGCGGCTTTCATTTTACGGCTTGTCTCCAAAAGCGCAGGGCTTCAAGCACGCTTTGCCCTTTTATTTAAGCAAACAGCTCTAAATGAAACTGCGTGTCAGTTTTTTCATTCTTAAATTTCCTGACGCCAGGCACTTGCCTTTCAAATAACGTTTGTTTACTCAAGGCGAGTGCGAAGAAATAAAAATAAAAGGCTGAGGTGAACAACTGACATTTAGGAAAGAGCACGCTGAATATTAGAAGAAATAAACAAGGACTTGCAGCTGACAGACTACGCAACCTATCACGTGAAGAAGCTTCCAGCGTAAGCCCATCTACAGGTTGCGAAATTTTAACAACGCAAGACACCAACTGAACTGACTCTTTCTAATTAACCATGGAATTGGCATGTCTCAGTAACGAAATAAAAAACAAAAATGCAATGCCTCTTTGACGTGTTTTCTGAATGGAAAAATGTATTATTTTGACTGTTTGTCAATTTATATATGTAATGTTTATAAAATAAATGCTCTGGTTTCTAATCGATATTAAAACCGTCACTTAAATCCACGCGAATGTGAATTTTCGAATGAAAATTTCGAAACTGACTTGAATATGCTTTTATGTACAGAAGACCATTATTTACAACAAAAAAATGATGACATTTTTAATGAACGTTTTATGAACAATTATCCTATATTAGACTGAAATTTCTGCAGTAATCGCTCCATGGCCCTTAAGCAAACAAAACAAATTATATATAATTTGTTTTGTTTGCTTAAGGGCCATGGAGCGATTACTGCAGAAATTTCAGTCTAAGATGATGGTGCATAAACACAAGGCGGCGCATGCTGCCCGATAATTAAAGAAGCGGTGCATTAAGCTGACGTGTATTTAATGTGTTGCAGAAGACTCTGAAACAGCTGGCGTCATCGGTTTGATAACAATCGTAATCATCGTGCAACCCAGCTATCTGGATCCATGTTCTGTGGCTAAGGCCTGCGAAGTGCAGATATACACGCGCGCAAATCAATAACTGACGTCGGCGGAGGAAAGCAGAAACAGGGAGCGTTCGGAAAATAATAAAATAGTGGTAGCGTCGGGGCAGGTGCAACGCCTTTGGGCGGTGTCCACAGAGGCTTCATTAGATTTACCTGCCTCTCCGGCACCAGTGCAGAAAAGTGTAGGGATATGTACTTCCGGTCGTATCTCAATACACATGCCGGAAGTACACTTCCCTTCACATTTCTTCACCGGTGCAGGCAGTGCAGGCAAATCGAACGAGCCTAGAGAGTGTGGGAATTCCCTTGCTGCTACCCGCCTCGGGGAGTGACCAGGCACACCGGTTCAACAACAGGAGGACCTTCAATCACCGTTATCGCCCGCGCCGCGATCCCAAGAAGCCCCCGCGCATCCGCTGCGACGGCCCTTTATCAGCGGCGGAGCGCCGCTCGCGTGGCCAGTTGCCCTTGGCCCCGTCGGGGTGCGGGTGACCACTGACGATTGTCGGAGGGGAACCTGGGCCAAACGCTTTGAATCCCCAGGTTGACCACAAGCGTACAGAGCGATTCATCGTCATTTACGACAGGCATACGTTGTTTTCATTGAAGTCGTCCTGCCCATTCCTCGTGTATGACGATTTTTTGTGGGGGTGTTCTCCGCCTGCTGTAAAAATGCAGTTAATCTAGCGAAACGCCGTTGAGGGCAGTCGCGGCGGTTCGGGCGCACCCACTGTCGTACTTACTGAACATACACATACAGCGGCGTAGACTCTTTTTTTTTTTCTTGGGGGGGGGGGGGGGGAAGGGGGCGGTTGGAGGGCGTTACCTTCTCGCCAGAACTGGAGATTGAAGCTAAAAAAAAACGCTGGGATTCCATTTTCCATACGTGGGCGTTATTTTGTTTATATGCCACTACTAGAAGCTGGTTACATGGCGCGTAAAGAGCGTCTCGGTAAGGATCACGGCCCAAGCCCGCGGGGGAAGGGGGGGGGGCTCTGCCCCCCCCCCCCCCACTTTCGGATTTTATTAGGGGGGCACGAGCCCCGACGCGCCCCCCCCCCCCCCCTTCGTAGTCTACGCCTATGTGTACATAGGTACGGTACCAGAGTTTGGAAATGGAGGTTTACATTGTCCGATGGCACGAGGAAGACGACACATAGGAATATGCGCCCTATTCCCTCACTCCGCCAAAATGTCGAGCTGTTCGCTAGGCCTTTCTCGAAGGGACTGGGCTGTCGCTTGCCGGCCCGCATGTTATATCTTCTCAGATAGTTACTTCTGTGAACCGGCTTTTTGACTACATGTGGGCTCGTCATTTTGACCCGGGGGTTTTTCATATATGATATGAAGTTCGATCACCCCAAAGGTTTTATGACGGTCTTTTTATAGAATCCATCAGAGATGATATCTCTAAAGGTTGTCCCATTCGCATAAAATCTTTAATTGGTCACCCGAGTTTTGTCAAGGCGACATCCTACCACCCGCTTACATTTTTTGTTGTGATGACTCCCCTAACAAATTTTAAATTTCTTTTGCTAGAATTAGGGTGTTAAAAGTTTTCCCATTTTTTCGGACCCCAACTGACTAGAATGAGTTGGCAAGTGAAACAACTGCAACAACAACAAGTGAAAAAGCTCTAACGAAAACAGTCACGATTATATCATGCCACTGCTGCGTGACTCTTCACTATGACTCAACGCTTCTAAGCCTGTTTAGCGCTTATTTTCCAGCAGCAGCTGCGATTTTTTTCTTGTGAAAGTTTCCAATGTGTGTGCGATGAGTCTTCTCGCTATTTCTTGTAAATTTATCTTTTGATAATCGCTTCTGAGTAGTTAAAAGTTTTTCACGTTGATATATGTTATATAAATATTGAAATGTTATTTTACAATCTCATCTTTATGTAATGCCCCATTATGACCTTAAGGAGCACCTAAATAAATACGAGTTTGAGTCCGTAAGAATGAGCACATTTCGTACGCCTTGCAAAATTCCAGCTCAAAACGCACATACCTAAAACTGGGTAAGCTAACGTCGTTTCTCAAGAAGGTTTTTCTGTACCTGTTTCGAAGTTCAACTCAGAGATAGTAAAACTTAAAAAAAAATATAAAGCATGAATGGCGGCCGTGTGTTTGCTATCCTGCAACGGCCTGCTCTTCGTCTGCCCACAGGCTTGTAATATCGATACCAGGTGGCGTGGTGAACACAAAGACACTAGGAACGTCATAGGATAGGCTGTGACGAAAAGGATAAACAAAATAATGATTTGGGCGATGATGCTGTTTCCGTTCGCTTTTAGAAACACATTAACTTTTCTGTTTCATAAAAAAAGAAACATTCTGTTTAATAAAAAAGAAATTGTGAAGAATGTTTGTTTGAGTTTCTCGTCTGTTATTTTTTCCGCTCCTCCATCAGTGATGTTGCTTGTAGTCGGCTGAATCACGGATCGAGTCTTGCTTTTCTGGAATTGATTGGAAGTACCGGCGACCCTTGCTTGACACCAGTAGCGCCATTGAACCCTTTCGAAATAACATGAAAAAGTGAGACCTCACTCATTTGTCTATATATTGGAGGATCAAACTTCGACGAAGTTGACTAGAAATGGTGAGAAACTTTTTTGTTGTGATGTGAACACTTCCTACACTGAAGTTTTACAGGGAAAACACTTTTTTCTCCACCGATGACTTTTTCCATGGGCTCCAAAGGCCTCGCGAGCAGCCATTGGGAACAAGGCTGTCATCCAAGCAGTCAGAAAGGTTTGGTTCGAGGCCGTAAAAGGCCTCGGACCGAAACCTAGGCCGTAGACAGAAAAATATTGATGTAACCCAAGCAGATCGCCAGTATTTAATTGTCAAAAATCGTCAACAATTAACCGAGGGGCCGTTTTTGGCATTTTTACAGAAAAAAAGCAAAACGGCTAAAGTTATATTATGGTATTAGAGCCTTTTACCTGTGCTCGCAGTGTTCTTTAAAAAAGAGTTGATATAAAGTGGACTGAAAATCCACGGCAGGAGATCGAGGGAAACCTCCGATCCACGACGGATGTGAAAACACTGCTTTCCGCCGCGGCCTTTTTTGAAATTCGTAAGTCGAGAACAAAAAAATCCGACGAACGTGCGGTTTGTGGCTACCGCGTTCTTAGAGACGAAGCCTTAACATATATATTTTTTAAGCAAAATAAAAAATTCGACCCTTTTTATTGTCCGAGTGAACATCTCCGACTAGTTGAGGAGGGGAGAGGCGCCCAGGAACCCCGGTCTGCGACGAGGGGGATTGAATGGGGCGCCGGTCTTGAAGAGAGGAGAACAAGAAGGGCTCTTCTCGGTTAACCCGAGCAGGAGGATTACGAGACGGAATGTCCAACGAGCCTGAATGTCCAACGAGAGGAAAGATCCAATAATGGATATCCAGGCACGTTGGACATTCAGGCTCGTTGGACATTCCGTCTCGGTTGGATCTTCCGTCTCGTTGGACATTCAGGCTCGTTGGACATTCCGTCTGGGTTGGATCTTTCGTCTCGATGGACATTCAGGCTCGTTGTACATTCCGTCTCGGTTGGATCTTTCGTCTCGTTGGACATTCAGGCACGTTGGACATTCCGCCTCGCCTGTCACGTGCTAAAATAATTTGCCCTTTTAAATGTACAGATTTGTGTGTATATTTAGACCGCGTTCTTGCAGGCATTGCCGTAGTTACATCACACTAAAATGTCGTGCCACAAAAGCCGACGTTGACAGACCGACAAGGAAACAGAGCAGACATAAATATTATTATTTCGTCTATAGCAAGGCTTGATGGTTAGTTAGCTGAGTGCCGATGCGCAGCTATGTACCAATCAGTTAAAGGTGTCGATTGTACGACGCCAAACGCTCCTTTGATATTAACAGTTCAAATGTTTGGGATCTTCCGATGACATAGGTCAGCCAATTTGAAATATATAATAGGAATGCAATGTACGGGTGTTCTAGTGGATCGCAATTGGGGGACGTCTATAAAAGCCGCGCTTCAGAACCCAGGAATTTCTAGTTCAGTCCTC